AGATTAGTTAAATATTTTAATTTAACTAGTGCTCCTAAAGAAGTACAACTAGAAATTATATTTGTATTAAATGAATATGGTATTAATGTCTTAGAAAAAACACAACACACTTTATATAGATGTTTCAAAAAAAAAAAAAAAAAATTTGCTTTTGAAGGGCATGACATTACAATTTTAATATTCCATAAGGATATTGATATATTGCTTCAAAAGAATAAAAAATATTACATATTAGTATTTTTGAAAAATACAGTATTGAGAAGCATAAACGTAAACATATTAATATTTTAGAAAAATATTATAATTAATTTAAATGTATCAATATTCCCGAAAACTATTGTTCTATTATTTGTGAGTAATTATAACTAAGTATATATCAATATTTCAAATAAATATATGTGGTACAATTAAAACAAATATAATATTCAACCGGTAGTTCAATTACTAAATATATTATTATTATTTGGCATGATTAGTTGCATCATCGTCGGATCAATAATGATATGAAATTGAGAATTCAAGGGACATTTAATGAAGAATCAAAAGATTTTTCAATCCAATGAATTCCTATATAATATTTGTTCTTTTTCATTGAAAATTGGTCATTAACCATCATTAGTTAAATATGAACTGAATTCCCTATATTTCTGAAAATTAATTAGGGTGAAAAAGTGGTCCCTTCACCCTCCATGTTGGTCATCCAGATATTATTTTTTATTTAATAGATTTGATATATCTATTAGATGGTTGTATGGTGTTTGCAACCTGAAATTTAGAAAATTATTGCTCAAATTTTAAATTTTAAGTATAATTTTCAGATTATAGAATCAAGACAATGTGTCTTGTTAATGTTAATGAATTTGAATCTCAACCCTTTAATAAACTGTTATTTGGGATGACAATAAATGGTTTAACATTATCATTTGTTAAGTGCCTCTAAATTAATTCCTTAATCCTTACTAGTAAAAATAAAATACTTCCCATTTTTTTTAAGGAATGTTATTAAGTATCGTACCAATATTAAAATTATCCATATTATAATTAGCTTATGGTCAAAACCTAATATTATTCATATAATGATTTTTTAAAGTGAAACATATCATAATTGTTCTACCATAGTGCACTGAAACAGATATTACAAATGCTGAGAATTTGAACCAGTATAAAATATCGTAAACCCTAAGGGGTGCTATCTTATAGTGCAGTTTACTCATTGTTAATTTGATTGAATTATTTTCTTAACATTAGAGGAAGGACTTAAGAAGTTGAAAAATGCACAAAAGAATCATTCTACTAATTAGATCCTCGAAAAAGATAATTTGAACCAAAAGCTCGAAAGATAATTCATTTAGGTACATTCAGTAATCAAAGAGATTAACATTGCCTCATACACAGCTTTAAATGCTCCTACTCGAATTGGCGTCCTAGAAGGACAATGTGTTAACGTTATGTCTGATATATTTATTATAAGCCTGAAACGTGAATATATTTGATTCTAAGAAAACATCTACAAAATAAAGTTAAGCATATGATGAAGATGGTCCCATTAGAAGGTATATACTCTTGGAGAGAATATAGACATACCAAAATGTAAAACTGCAAAAGAGGTTTAGATACTTGAAATATTAAAAATTGATATATATCACTAAGTTATGTTGTTATGAGAAACAAATACAATCGAAAAGAAAAGGTTATCGATTTTTTTTTTTACAAATGTACTGTTTCATATTATGAATAACAATGATATCAAAATAAATTTATTGAAACGTATTGATTCAAAAAATAATTTACTAAATAAAAGGATGCAATCCTAGTAAACTTGAATTTACTAGAGAAACTAGAAAATTTTGAACCTGCAGTTCGAAAATCCAAATATGTATATACTTATACAAAAAAGTAAACAAGAAAAATAAAATCGTAGTATATAATACACGACATTTAACATAATAAATTTTGCAAAGATAGAAGTAGATGCAATCACAAGTCCATATCCTACGAAATTTGAAAGGCAATTATAGTTAATTCGTCTGACATGACTATTAATGTTACCCTTGAATATTTAATATGTCTGAAACATGTAATTCAAGTGATATTATTACAAGAGAAGTAATTGTGCATTGTATTATTTTTCTCTTGACTAAGGTTTTATCCCAACAAAATTTTTTGGCTAGATTTTTAATAATACAAGTTTTTTAGCATACTTAAAAGAATAATGTACTCTTTTTCCTTTATCAAAATTTTTCTCACAAAGTCTTCCTAATAAAATTTTAATGAGACAATTTTTTTTTTAATGAATGTCCATAACCTATAAGACATTTATCCTCAAAATAATTTTATATGTATAAGACTCATGAAGAGAATAACAAGAGTTGTTTTCTGAATCATCATGCTAGTACAGTTATCAAATTTTGATAAATATCTCGTATGAAGATGACATTGCTGAAAGACTACAACAAGACAACATGAAACATGTTTCACCAGAATTATCATATTGAAAATATTGGCATACAAGACATGAATGATTTTAAACAAGAACTTTATTTTATTGAAATCAAGGAGAGTATATGTATTATTTTTCTTTAGCTCAAGTTTTGACTCATTAGATTTTCTTGACAAGATTTTAACATTTTTATTACTCTAATTTTTTTTTATAATCATTTGTATGTTTTTTTTTCCTTTGTTTGGTCTTTTTATCTCACCCAAATTTTGCCAACTAGATTTGTAACGAGGTAGTTATTCGGCAAATAATCACTAAAGGGAAGTGTTGTAAAATAATGAGATAATTATTGATACTTGTTTTCGTTTGGGCCACCTCTTTATCTCATTAAAATGAAAAATATGACCGTTATCCATCACATCAATATTTAAATTTAAATTTTCTATCTCTTGTGTGGATCTCAATAACGACTATATTTTTCATTCTCATTGTACAATAAGGTGGCTCAAACAGGGCCTTAATCTTATTATGATATATAGATAAGTCTTATATACACTAGAAAAATCGATTCTACTACGATTGTAACTTTCATTTTGAACCCTATAAATACAGGTCTTGATTCTCAATAAAATATATACTTAAATTTTGACACTGTTTTGATCTTTTTGTTCTATTACTTTTATTTCAGAACATTATAGATTTTAATTTAAATCACTATTTAAGCTAGGCTTATTTTGCTAGATAAGCTTATATAGTCAAACATAGAAGTGTTTTTTCACACCTTCTTCAGTTTTAAAAGTATTGGCGTAAATTTCACACGTCTGCTCGAGCGATCATGGCTAGGCTCGAGAAAAGCTCGATCCGACCCGGCTAGTGGGTCGGGCTGAGCCCGGTGGCTTTTCGGCTCGTGTTGCGAGCTATTTTAGGCCCGTGACGAGTCAAACCTTAAAAAAAAATATTAAAACTTTATCGGCATCTACAGGCGACTTAATATTCTTTTTTTAAATAATAATAATATTTATTAAGCCATTTGTAGGCAGCGTGTAGCTGTCTGCTATCAAGCAGCGTCTCGCTGCCTGGCAACAAGCTGCTGCCTGGTGATATTTTTATAGATATATAAATAAATATATTAAAAAATGAAACCATTTGCAGGCAGTTGACTGATACATTTAAAAAAAAAAAAATTCTTGAGCCGGCTCGACTCAGCTAGGCTGGCTCGTTGACTTCCATATTTTCAAGTATCCTCGGGAAACCAAAAAACCTCGGCCAAGCGGTTCGATAGATTTGAACTACTCTATAAATCTCCTTATTCCAGCTGATCTTCAACTCCAGCTACAGTCCCACCATTTCTTCAGGTAATTCTCTTCTCTTTTTACGCTCTAACCACTACAATGTTTTTGTCTCTATCTATCTATATATATCTGTGTGTGTACGTGTGTATTGCGGGTTAAGTTATTGACGGTTACATTATGAATTTGTTTTATGAGGGATTAAAGTAGCTTTTGTGGGCAGCCCACTTTTGAATCTTCAAACCCTTGCGGAAAGAATTTGATCTTAAGGACCTGTGATTAGTCAATCGTGATGTTTCTAAGTCAACATGCACTACAACTTTAGTGGAATTTTGTTTTAACTGAATCGTGTTTAATTTGGGTTTTATCGATAATCGAGCAAAACAGCTGAGAAAATATCAATATGATGCGGAAGATGATAATTCCAATTACTTATTGTAGCCACAACTCCCCCGCCCCACATAAAGTTTTTGGTGTTCTACCATCTTTACGTGCTTTAAGTTTTTCGACCTGATTTCACATTTAATTAATAATAAACATTACCAACTCTGCTTATTTAGATTTGTAGATGCTGAAAGGATCAAGCTTCTGAGTTGCTATTGTTAGGATGCTTGATCCAATTTGGCAATCATTTGGAATGAAGAATCCGTGTTGATACCTACTGAGTTAGAATAAAAGTTTTATAGAATAAATTAATTTTTAGGTATTGAGTATTTTGGTTATTCAAGTACAAAATATCCAGAAACCAAAATTGAGAAAAATGTGGATCTTGATATGATGTGATGCAATTCTATAATGGATAAAACAGGTAATGTCTATCCAGTAGAGGTGATAGCAATTGAGGAGAAATTATGGGGAAGAGCGATTGAGATGGCTAGATTTGTTTTGCAAGAGTTAAAGAAAACTTGCGTTGGCATTCCAGTAATAAGTTGGTAAATAGATTGATCAATCAAAATTAACATAAAAAGTTTCAATTTCATTTTCATTTCATCAAGTGACGTAAATATTGAAGTATTAATTGATGGGATTAGATTTTGCATTTGGTCCCAATGGTTGCTCAAACTGTTTATTTATTTCCTGAAGTAGGTTAACTAATGTTTAGGGGAAATAGAATGTTTGTACTTCTATGGTTTACTATGTGATCTCTATATAAATGGGGCCTGTTTAAGTGGAATTAAAATCCAGACACCTAAAGGTATCAACCTGAATGATTTGTGTTGCACAGGATTGGAGTGAGAAATTGATCCTCTTCTTAATTCAGGATTCTTGCTGCAATGGCATTAAATGGTACAGCAGGGCATACTTGCCCTTCTCCGATGAAAGCCACATCTAATGGTGTATTCCAGGGGGATAACCCACTGGACTTTGCACTTCCGCTTGCAATCTTGCAGATATGTTTAGTCGTTGTAGTCACCAGAGGTCTTGCTTTTCTGCTGAGGCCACTTAGACAGCCTCGAGTTATTGCTGAGATTATCGTAAGCTCTTTTTGCTTTTGGTTTCTGTTGTATTTAAATGCATACATACCTAGAAAAACTCATCTTGTGAGGGGATATGAGAAGAACAAGTAAAACGGTAATGCATTATGAATCTAATGTGGATTCGGTATTAAACAGTGTTAATTGTTTCACTGGAAAGACTTGAGATCATAATGATGTAATAGCTAGTGTCTTCTACTTTGGCTTGCACCTACTGGTAATTGGTTACCATGATGAATTAAGAACTACACCTACAAGAAGAATTTTTGTCTCATCCATGAACAGTACATGAACAAGTGTATTGACTAAATAGGATTATAAATTTGAATGGACGTGAAGGCACAATGTCTCATCATAAATGCCTTGACTTTTCACATGTTGATGCACATACTAATGAACCTCACACCAAGAAGTCATGTAGTTTTGAGGTAAAAGTCATATCTAACGTGCTTGGTTGCACATGATCATTTTTATTTATGTAAATTAGTATGGGGCACATTATTCATGAAATTCATAATTTTCCTTTCCCTTCCATTTGCATTATTATGTCACCAAAAAACAGTTGAGCTGGTGTTGCTGGCAACTGATAGTGATTTTATTGTTCAGGGAGGAATATTACTTGGACCATCTGCTCTTGGTAGAAACAAAAGCTATTTGGCTGCAATATTCCCACCAAAAAGCATTACTGTGTTAGATACTCTAGCAAATATTGGTCTCATGTTCTTTCTTTTTCTCACTGGCTTAGAACTGGATACTAAATCCCTATTGCGAACCGGTAAAAAAGCTCTAAGCATTGCCATTGCAGGGATCAGCCTCCCGTTTGCACTTGGAATCGGTTCATCATTTGTCCTTCGAGCAACCATAGAGAAAGATGTAAATGCAACCGCATTTCTCGTTTTTATGGGTGTAGCCCTTTCCATAACTGCATTCCCTGTTTTGGCTCGAATCTTGGCTGAGCTGAAACTTTTAACGACTGATGTCGGAAGAATGGCCATGTCTGCAGCGGCAGTAAATGACGTAGCCGCATGGATCCTGCTTGCTCTTGCCATCACATTATCTAGCGACAATCTTTCGCCAGTTGTCCCTTTATGGGTTTTCCTCTGTGGCTGTGGTTTTGTCATTTGTTCATACTTCATCATCACAAATATATTTAATTGGATGGGCCGGCGCTGCCATGAAGGGGAGCCTGTGGATGAGATGTATATATGTCTTGCATTAGCTTCTGTGCTTGCAGCAGGTTTTGTTACTGATACTATTGGGATTCATGCTATGTTTGGAGCTTTTGTCGTTGGTATACTTTTCCCAAAGGAAGGGCCATATGCAGGTGCAATAGTTGAAAAGGTTGAGGATCTCGTATCTGGCCTTTTCCTCCCACTGTACTTTGTTTCAAGTGGATTGAAAACTAATGTGGCAACAATCCAAGGGATTCAGTCATGGGGTCTCCTGGCATTGGTCATATTCACGGCTTGCTTTGGGAAGATTGTTGGAACTGTTGTGGTTTCCCTTATCTGTAAAATGCCCATTAGTGAAGCTCTTGCTCTTGGCTTTCTTATGAACACTAAAGGCTTGGTAGAGCTCATTGTTCTCAACATTGGCAAAGATAGAAAGGTAATTTTTTTTTTCTTGATAGCATTGCAAACTTACTTCTGAGTTGTGGTTATTGAAGATCTCATGGAGTGTGCAACATTTATTAAAATGCAGGTTTTGAATGATCAGACATTTGCTATCATGGTTTTCATGGCTCTCTTCACTACTTTCATCACCACTCCGGCAGTAACGGGTGTTTATAAACCAGCAAAAAGAGTAAACAAAACAGATTATAAGCATAGAACTATAGACAGGAAAAGCCCGAACACTCAACTTCGGATATTGGCCTGTTTTCATAGTTCTAGAAACATCCCATCTATCATTAACCTCATGGAATCGTCACGTGGAACTGAGAAACATGGAGGCCTGTTTGTTTACGCAATGCACCTCATGGAGCTGTCTGAGAGATCATCAGCAATATTGATGGTGCATAAAGCCAGAAAAAATGGTCTTCCCTTCTGGAATAAAGGCCAAAGGTCAAATGCCAACCATGTCGTCGTTGCTTTTGAGGCGTTCCAGCAGTTGAGCAAAGTCTCTGTGCGACCAATGACTTCAATCTCATCACTGTCTGACATGCATGAAGATATTTGCACAACTGCTGAGAGGAAGAGTGCAGCAATCATCATTTTACCATTTCACAAGCATCAGAGGTTGGATGGCTCCCTGGAGACTACTCGAGCAGATTTCCGTTGGGTTAACCGTAGGGTCCTGCAGCATGCTTCGTGTTCAGTAGGGATATTGGTTGACCGTGGACTTGGAGGAAGCACCCACATATCGGCTAGTAATGTTTGCTACTCAATTACTGTTCTATTCTTTGGTGGCTGTGATGACCGTGAAGCCCTTGCCTACGGAATTCGCATGTCCGAGCACCCTGGAATCAGGATGGCAGTCATTAGCGTTTCTCTAGAACCCGAGAGTTTGGGGGAAATTGTTAGAATAAATGCAGATAGCCATGCAGACAAAGCAGTCTCAAAAGATGAGGAGTTTCTTGCCAATTTCAAGGAGAAAATGTCAGAAAACAGCTCTCTCACATATGAAGAGAAAACTGTAAGAAATGCTTCAGAAGCCATTGATATGATTCGTAGTTACGCTCGTTGCAATTTATTTTTGGTAGGTCGTATGCCTGATGGCGAAGTTGCTCTGGCATTAAACGGAAGGAGTGAATGCCCAGAGCTAGGTCCTGTTGGGAGTTTGTTAATATCACCAGATTTCTCTACCACAGCATCTGTCCTGGTGGTCCAACAATATCAGGAAAAGGTATCTCTGAATTCGACTTTAGAGACGCTAGATGAGTCGCCTCGCCCATAGAGACTTAGGATCCGTTGGCTGAACCCTTTTTTAGTTGTTTTCGAAGTAGTTTATCTTTAGGGGGTGTTTGATGCACATTATTGATGAAATAATGTATTTTAAATAATGATGTGATGGAAAATATGTGGTTAAGCAATAAGGAAATTTTTTGGATGTGACGGAAAATATTATTTTATTGAAGAATGTGTGATTGAAAATGAGTTTCGAAAGAATGAATTTTGAAAGAATGTAGATCAAACATGTTATTAATGTAGAACTTGATTCATTGTTAACAACTAATAATAACGTGAGGTATCATATTTTTTCCTTATTGGAATATTTTTTGTTGTTACTTGCGGCATTGGCTCACAACCACCCTTTGTTTACTATCTTACGCTGTTTTACGCAAGGAAACAAAGATATTGATATCTTGGCAGCATTCCGAGCTACTCCTAAAAATTCATTGACCTCAGTTTATATAACCTATGAAAGTTCGGCATGTGCCTTTACCGTTAATGATGATCTCTGGTGGTTTTCGAATAACGCAAAATTTTCTTGATCTTCCTCCAAAGATTTAATGGAGCATGAAAAGTGAAGTGTTGTTCAATATCAAAAATTGCTTATCATTTGAATTAAAAATGGACTTATCTTGCAAGAGAAGCGATTCCTTCACATTGCCTAGGCCGCTAGTGTCCAATCTTATAGGACATAATAATAGAATACTTAAATCTAGGCAAATTTTGTAATCTCTTGGGTCCTACTTTGGTAAGAATTTTGATGCATTTGTAATAAATAAATAAATTAAAAATTGGGTACCAAAACGAAGTCGCATTTCGTACTTTTCGACATACTAACATGCAAATAATCCACGTGGATCCTTCAATATTTTGATTTTGAACCGAATTAAATCACTTCGAAGTAGTTTAATTTATGTTTCAATTTTTACAAATCGTCAAACAAGTTCCAAAAATAAATCTGAGAATAAAATAATTTAATTTATCTAATCCAATTACAAGTAAACACATTCCAATCAAAATGATTTAGTGGATTACTTAAACGATCGTTGTGAAAATTTGATTAATGAACCTTTTAAAGTATTACTTTCATGTCTTTACAAGTGATATTCATTTAGGAGTTCATCAGATGCAAAGATGGTTAAGGAGGTAATTTGCACTAATAATTAGTTTCACATTAATATGAAACATATAGTGATTCGTCAATATTTGAACAAAGTAGAAGCGTTAGACGACTCAGAGAAAGATAGGTAAGATATTATCGTATTTGATATTTTTATTCATATTCTTTTATTAGCTGTTTTATATCATTTAATTATAACTAATGAATATATTTACTATACTCTTATCTTTATGCATAGAATGAATCAAGTGTTACAGATGAAGATATTAGTATCCACTAAGAGGCTAACACTAAATTGTTTTTGTCATTTTGTTGCATTGTAATGATTATTATTGTAGAAATTTCATTTATAATATTTTTAATGATAATAATATTTATGTTTTAACTTGATATTTTAGACTAAATTTATTTGTTTTGGTGTGGTATAGGTCCACAAGGTTTATCTATTTAACTATTCAAAATTTCATTTTAGACTAAACTTAGCTCTTGTTTGATGAAGATTAAAATCAGATTTTTAGTAGATTTTAATAGAAGTTGATGAAATGTGCGGTTGAAAAGTTTTGATTCTCATGAAATGTGCTATTAAAATTAATTTTTAATTTTGATTCAAATTAAAATCTTGATTTTTTATAGCACCAAACACGGGCTTATGGAATAGGTCCACCCACGAGGTTAGAATATTTGACCGTTAAAAATTTAATTTTTGTCAGTGTTCATCGTCTTGTCTGTTGTCCTTGCGAATGAGACTTTACAACCAATTTGCCGTTTAATATAGGATTCTTTTATTTTATTTGTTTGCTTGAAAAATTAATTGATTTTAACCTAGTAAAATCAACCTGGTTTTTAGCTTAGTGATATTGCACAAATTATATTATTCAGTTTTGTTGAACACAACGTTTGTGACATCTATGTTTTTAATTGAGTTTATAATTAACATGATATGATGTCAAACCCAAGTTCAAATCTCTCCTCCATGCATTTATGAAAAATTGTCATGCGTTTTGGAAAAAATGAATGTGGTTTGCATACGAGACAATGTGTTCAAGATAACATTTGAATAATTAAATGTATCGTGTACTTAACAGTCTAAGGTTTAAAATTACTTAGTTAACGATTTTGAACACGAATTTCAATCATAGTTTTTAATGCAGAATATCATTAATATGAACAAGAAGAAGGACAAAGACGCCCTTGTTTGTTTATTGCAAGTCTTAAGTCTCCCTTACTATTTTTCATTAATCTTTAATTTGTGTGTTAAGAACATCATATAGGACAAGATCACCCAAAAGTATCGCTTGACCGGTTCAATTCGTGGACTATGATAGTATATGAGTGCAAGTAGGACGATAATTTAACTTTTTTTTTCTTTTTTTAATACTGTCTACTATTATCAAGAACATGCCATTATGGTATTGCTTAGCATGGAACTAGTCCTTTATGTTACTGTCTATATATTCCTCACACATTGAGCCTGCACAACTACACCATAGTCATGATTCAGATTGTGAAGAAATCTTGTTGCATCCTTTTCTTTCTCCTCATTATCTGTTGTGTTCCTATCCATTCCAAGACACAAAAGCTAGACGAACCATGCAAGCGAATCGTGCTCTATTACCATGACATCCTATTCAATGGCACAGATCTTGCTAATGCAACTTCTGTAAAAATTGCAAATGACACTCAATTTGGTTTCCATTTTGGCATGATGGTCGTTTTTGATGATCCCATGACGAAAGACGGTAATCTTAATTCACCGCCAGTAGCACGAGCTCAAGGCTTCTATTTCTATGACAAGAAGGACACTTTCAATGCTTGGTTTGCCTACACTTTGATATTCAACTCTACTGAGTATAAAGGGACCTTAAACATCATGGGTGCTGACCCTCTGCCGGAGAAAACTCGCGACCTTTCGGTAGTCGGAGGGACTGGTGATTTCTTCATGGCAAGAGGGATTGCAACATTTAGAACAGAAGATGTGCAAGGTGACTACTATTTTAGACTCCAGATGGATATCAAGTTGTACGAATGCTATAAGACTTAGGTACAAGTTCGCTGTGGTTCTAATTTGTGTGGCAGTATGGCATATAAGTCTAGTCATCCGTTTTATCACGTGATGTATTTGTGTTTGCAGAAATGGTCGTGAAGGCGTTGTTTAACAAAGCTTTTGATAAAAAAATTAGCATATTTTGGTGAAAGCTGATAGAATTTATTGTTGAAAAATTGATAAAACTTATGAATCCCAAGAAATACGGTTGAAATCAAACTTTTATCAAACAAACACCAAATAACAAAAAATATTTATTTTCACCATGTTTGATCCCTAATTTATAAAACTAATTTTCAACCACACATTTCATGAGACGCAACATTTATGAATTTTTCAACCATAAATTTTATTAACTTTTATCAAAATCAATTAAGGATCCGTTTGATTGCAAATGTGGAAAATGGGTGGAAAGAAAATGTTTTATAAATAATTGAATTGCCTACAAATTATTTTACTGAGAATTGTAATTAATTGTATTTGATTTGTATAATTTTTCACATGGAAAATGTTGAAAGTTTGGTATCCATTTGACTTCTTTTTTATGAAAATTGTCCATGAAAGTGATAATTTTTTCTACCATTGTGTTTAGAATTTGTTCCAATTGCTAAAAAAAATATTTTAAAATACCATATCAAATACCATTTGTTTGAGTTTGTTTTGAATGAAAATTGTCCACTAAATGGAAATTTTTTTTACCATTGTTGATAGATTTTTTTTCCAATTGCAAAAAATAAAAAAAAAGATGGAAAATTATTTTTCCACCAAAATGGTGGGAAGACCAATTCATTGATTTCAAGGAAATAGTGGGTAGAGGGAAAAAAAATTTCTAAGGAAGATTTTTGCAACCAAACAATGCAAAAGATGGAAAATAAAAAATATTTTCCTAATTTCATGGAAAATAATCCTTATCAAACAGGCCTAAGTATTCAGCAAGGAGAGTCCCAAGCATGCAAAAACAGTGTTAGCCGAAAATTATACTTTAATCAAGAGACTAATTATTGTTATTTAATCTAAATCTTCTAATTATTATTCATGGCCCATACTATTTGGACTTATAGTTTAGTCCATCAACTACCAAGACTCATATGACCATTTTAAGCAAAACAAAATGGCTTACATAATGGCTTACATAATGACGAGACATGACAATTCTATCATTTGGCTAACTGATTATATGCGACAAAATATATAAAAGTTCAAGATTCTACAACTTATTCTTAAATAATTTCGTCCTCAAAATTCACTTTCGATTGATGGAAAGTCCCGATCAGTACTTGATTTTCATCTATCTTCATTTTTTTCAAATTGACTCTTTAATGAATTTGAGCACACTAACAAAAAATGAGAGAGAGAGAGAGAGAGAGAGAGCAATAATCGGGGATGAAAACTATAGTGAACAATACAGCAATCTTTCTACTCGGAATTGGCCCTACCCACAAAGAAGGGAAGGGGACCGGCCATATCGCAAAATAGCTTCTCTTTAATGGATTTTATTTTAAAAATTTCTAATAGGAACTAATAATATCTTAATTTTTAGAGCCAAATTGATATAAAACTTAGTTCTTCATCTAAATTCGTGTTAGGTGTAGCGGATTAGAGGAATTATTTCCATATATCAATATGTGTGTGGTAGTAAAAATTCCACCGGCATTTGTATGCACTTATTCCACAAATCAATTTGAAGGTGAAAAGTCCATGGTTGATTTCAAGGTTGACTGCACCTACCTCCGTCTATGTCCAAGTGTTTGGCTAAACTTCAAAGTAATTAGAGTGTAATTTTAAGTAGATTTTATTTCAATGTGTTTAGAACTTAATTTTTCATAATAATAAGTAAACAAGTTACTTAAATAATAATGGTTTAAGTTACTTATTTAAAACTTGTTTACTTATAAGTGTTTTTATTCAGCATTTATAGCCAAAATAACCGGTTTGAACTCAATGACCATCGTATCTACATGTATTAGTATATATATGTAATACATATGGACGTTAGTCGATCACATAGATTGCTAATCAAACTCATTTTTCGATTCAATATACTTATTTTTTTATTGAAAGTAAGTAAGAAGGTTAAAGATGAGATTAGGGTCTTAATTATGAGAAAAATACAAAAAAATGGTTTTATATAAATGAGTTTTTAATCCTATCAATTCACATAAAGTTACAATCAGTCACCAACCCCAGCCAACTCAACCCCAACCCCATCCCCACCACACCTCAACATCTGACCCTATAAAATGAGACTGGAGTAAACACTTAAGCCTCGTTACTTGAGACCCTTTCGATATAGTAGCATTGTAAATTAATACTAGTCTCCTCTCCACTTTTAATAAACCAATTATGGCTTCTAAAACTCAAATTGTAGCTCTTTTCCTTTGCTTCCTCACCTCCACCTCCACCTCCTCCGCCGCCTATGGCCATAAGCCCCGCCCTCGTCGACCCTGCAAAGAACTCGTGTTCTATTTCCACGACATACTTTACAAGGGTGATAATTACAACAATGCCACTTCGGCCATAGTTGGGTCCCCGGAATGGGGCAACAAGACTGCGGTGGCACAACCATTCAATTTTGGTGACCTAGTTGTGTTTGATGATCCCATTACCTTAGACAACAATCTGCATTCACCTCCAGTGGGTCGAGCACAAGGGATGTACGTATACGATCAGAAAAGTATATACAGTGCATGGCTAGCGTTCTCATTTTTGTTCAATTCTACTAAGCTTGTTGGAACCTTGAACTTTGCTGGGGCTGATCCATTGATGAACAAGACAAGGGACATATCCGTCATCGGTGGAACTGGCGACTTTTTCATGGCTAGAGGGATTGCCACTTTGATGACCGATGCTTTCGAAGGGGATGTGTACTTCAGGCTTCGTGTTGATATTAAGTTGTATGAATGTTGGTAAACAATTTAGCCCTACCTAAGTATACATATTACATATCTTCAACGAGTTTAATAATGAGGGTGAAAGTCATACTGTTCTATCGAGAAAAAGAACTTATAATTAGTTTTTCAATAATAAAAAAACAGTTTGTGGTGCTTTTGTAAATGAACAATTGTCATATGTTGAAGATGATCTCCAATGTTCAAGTATTTTCCACTTTTGGTTCTTCTTGGAAGTTATGGTTGACTAAATAGTGATCAGATTTTTCTGAATTCTATAAAATTACCATATTACCCATGACTTAAGTACACGTGCTACTTAAAGATTTTAGTGAAGTTTAACAAAGTTAAATTAAAAATATGGATTTCGTGTACAATACTTATATGCCAACAATTTGTATATGCCACACACGAGAAGTCGAGACCCAACATATGGAATATGTATATCTAAACTGCACAATCCTATATAATTTATAACGTCAAATAATACCCTCTACCTTTTTTTTTTTAAGGAAAGAGGCGTAGCCTCCGAAAATTTATTAATATGTCATCACTTATAGCGGATGAATACCGTGGTTACAGTTAAAATGAAATAAAGCTATAAATGGGGAAGTACTACTTCCCTTACAGCAGAAATAAAGTAAAGCAGTAAAAAAGGAAGTGCTACTTCCCTTACAATAGAACTTCATTACAATTAATGAAAACGAAAACAAGGCAAGTTACAATTATCCAAGCGGATGCAACCAACAGTATAAACAGGAAAACTGGAGATTGATTCTAAGAAGTCTGAACTACCTTGAGTTCCAAGTCGCGCTAGTGAATCTGCCACCTGGTTAGCTTCTCAATAAATATGCGAAACATCAATAGACATAACATGAACAAGCTCCAAAATATCCTCCCAAATAAGACGAATAGACCAAAGTATTTTAACTTGATGATGAAACCATTGTATCACCACATTAGAATATGTTTCTGTTGCAATCCTTTCTATGCCAGGGACATAGCATATTTGAAGGCCTATTCTCAGAGGTAATACCTTTGCTAAAGTGTTGGTTCCAAACCCTGGAGAGTGATAGAGTCCAAAAATAATCTTCCCTTTCTAATCCCGAAGCAGTCCACCACAACCAGTCGTGCCTGGATTTCTAGCACTTGCACCATCAATATTAAGCTTATAACAACCATGTTGAGGAGTGTACCGTCGACCTCATAATTGATTGGAGATCATAAATTTTACATGTACTCTATTATGAGAACACTAGTCTTAGGTTACAATTCTAATCTTTGATTATTAACCACCTAGCGATTTTAATTAAAAATTTTTTTTTGAAAAGTTTCTATCGCTAAAAAGTAAAAACTAATTATACAATTATAAATATATGTTAACTATCAACTTGTACCTTTTAAAAGTTGAGAGCCGATCACTCAAACAATAGACAAAAACCAGTATTATACTTATACGTAGGTTTTACGTGTGGCTTGTTTATATCTATCTGATTGCAAATATCCCGTGCAAACATTCAAGGAGCTATTTTTTCATTGTGTTGAATTGAATAAACAACACGATCTTTCTATCGAGACCACCTCGATTAATTATATGAATCGTTTATTATCTGATTGTCGAGAAGTGTTTTGTTCTCCACCTATGCTCATACCTAGTCAACGCTACTTGGGTCGGTTTTCGACTTCCGATACAAAGCAATCTAATGTCTGATCATTGGAAACGGCGGAATTGACCGTATCACACCTACGAGTCACCCGCCCAACTACCAACTAAGGACAGTGACTGATTAAGTGAGATCAATTAGTTAATTGAGTACTCAACACGAAATCAAATATTAATTGTCAATCCTTTGCATAATTGGGATATTGACTAACTTTTCACATAAAATAGATCTACCCACGTCAATGTAATCTGCTGGAGATTTGGATGGGTTGGGAAGTTTTCACTTGGCTTACGAGTAACAAATTAAAAAAGAAAGATATTCACAAAAGAAAACATCAATATAAATCCGAATTTTCAGATATCTTTTATCTATTCGAGTTAATTAATAACATTGTTACGTAAGAAAAAAAAAAATTTCTGGTGTAATTTTTTTTTTATGTATTAGCCTGGTCTGTAATTCAGTCCTTGATCCATCCTTGACCTGGATGATCTGAAGTTTATCTTCTTGCAATTGATTCTTATTATTGGATGAAAATAATATGTGAAAGAAAATCTATTTGCACGGACCACATTGCAGAGCATTGAACATACTAGTTTCATATTTGGATTTCCCTATGAGTTATTTTCAGTTTTCTTTTGGTCTAAGATGAGATATAATCCAACTTATTCGAAAATTATTTTTCCACAAATTTATTCTCAATTATACATTCTCACGATAAAATAATTTTATCTTGTATCAAAAATTAATATCTTCGATAACTTGGGTTTAATCTCATGAAAATGATAAATCTTTAGCTCGTAAAGAATTTCCCCTCTACGATCTTGAATCGAAACAATGCCATGAATAACAATATCTCACACTGAATAGATTGAAGAGATCAGTTCTTTCAATAATTTTATTTGCTTATCATATTAGGGCTAACCATAGTGTGTGTTCTATAACCATCATAGGGAGAGTTACTACTCTATAAATCTTTCGTGGACATAAAAATTTGACCGCATACTACAATTTGGGGCCCGCCCATTAGGAGTCGAATTTATGAAATTCACCTCAAGCCCGGTGAATAACAGGTCTAGTCCTAGATATGATTAAAAAGTGATCAAACAAAAGAAAATTGTGAAGACAATACAAGTAAAACAAGATATAATTATTAATAGGAATATTTCTTTCTAATATTTACTATTTTTAATCATAATAAGTAGAAAAATGTTAAGGGATAAAATTACATATCGAATAAAGATGAAAATATAGACCAACTTATATAGTTAACATTTTAAAATAGAATATCAAGTGTTAAAATGGTATTAGACTCCAAAAAGCGATTGGATCCGATTAAGAATTAAAAAAAATGTTTCAAAATTAGAATGCGTTTTTAATAGTAAATTTTTGAAGAATGTGTAATTAATAAAAGTAGTAAAAAATTTTGAATTAATGTAAAGAATATTTTATCGTCGGAATGTTTGATTCAAAATGAATATGAAAAACAAAAAAAAAAGATTTTTGAAAGAATGATAGTCAAACACGAAATAAGATTGACCTTTTAAAATGACATCTCAAATCTTAATAAAAAAATACATTATTTATACAGATTTAGCTTTTGTTTTGGAGAGATTTTTTTTTAAGTGAAATGATTTTATTTTATTTTTAAGAATTTATAATTAAAAAGCAGGAAAAAAATTATAAGTTCTATAAAATATGTGGTTATGAAAAAAAAAATGATAATAAAAAAAGATGCAATAACCCTATTGATTCTCATCTATTGACAAATCTTTAGATTTATTGGACTAGGTACTGTCTAATTGCTCGACATATTTTTGAAAAAATATTACTAGATATCCATTTCAAGATAATAATGTAATGTATGAATAAATTGTACGATGTCATTTAATTCTCACATCATAAAGTTATTTAATAGGCATCAAACTTCAAGTCTTCAATAATCGAGCTCTTTAGAGAAAAGCATGTGTATTTAAGAAGAAAAATGTGCTTTTGAAGTGGAATTGGCTACCGAAATGTCATGATCCACACCTAATCTCCACCTACTTTTCACCAAAATTGTTAGGAAAATACGTCAGGCAATGTGTGGAATAATAATAATAATAATAATAATAATAATAATAATAATAATAATAATAAGGGAATATGTTGGTCAATTTTTCTATTTAAAAAGTCGCAACTTCGTGTGGACTGCATAGGATAGAAGCTAAAATTAAAAAGTACTCGAGTGGTGTTGAATTTTGTACTTTTACTTTCAACTTTAACTTATCTAAAGAATGACATTAAGTACTATATGTCAGTGTTCTAGAAGGCACGGAAATGCGCCGCCTAAGCGCGCCTAGGCACGACTCGTGGGAAAAACGTGTCGAATTCGGGGAATGCGCGAAAAATGCGTTTTTGAGTTTTTTGTTCGAAAATGCGCGCGCATAGGCGCGCATTGTCCCGCATTGTGCGCGCCTAGGTGCGCATTGTCCGCGCATTTTAGAACAAAAATGTTTTTTTTTTTTTTTTTTGGTAAAATTTTTTTTATATATAAAAATATATTTAATGCCTTAAAAATACGAAACGCATTATGTCGCTTATTCTTCGCATTGACACGCCTAAACTTGTGATTCTTGATTCTCG